ACCGTGAAGGAGGAGGGGAAGCGAGAGTGGAGGTGAGGCCGCCAGGGGGCAGGCAAGGCCCATCCGTGGCCGCTGCTGGAACCGCCAGCTCGGCACAGGCGCGCGATTCCGTGGACGTCTTCGGCACGCCGAGGCGACCACCCGCCAACTCTCCCAACTGCTGCTGCTTCTCACCCTCCTGTCCTGCTCTCCCGTGGCCTCGTCGTCGTCATCCTCCTCCTCCTCGTTCCTCCTCCTCCTCCTCCTCCTCCTCCTCTCCTCCTCCTCCTCCTCCTCCTCTCCTCCTCCTCCTCCTCCTCCTCCTCTTCCTCCTCCTCCTCCTCCTCCTCCTCCTCCTCTCCTCCTCCTCCTCCTCCTCCTCCTCCTCCTCCTCCTCCCTCCTCCCTCCTCCTCCTCCTCCTCCCTCCTCCTCCTCTCTCCTCCTCCTCCTCCTCCTCTTTCCTCCTCCTCCTCATCCTCCTCCTCCTTCCTCCTCCTCCTCCTCCTCTTTCCTCCTCCTCCTCCTCCTCTCTCCCTCCTCCTCCTCCTCCTCCTCCTCCCCCTCTTTCCTCCTCCTCCTCCTCCTCCTCCTCCTCATCCTCCTCCTCCTCCTGCGGGCTTCCATGTTCCCCGTCGGCATCGATGCTACAGATTCCCCAGGATCCTCAGGAGACCCTCCATACAGCTCCTCATTCGCAGGGCCAGGGGCGTCGAAGTCAAAATCGTGATCCGATGGTCCCGGGTGTGTTGCTTCCCTGCATCTTGGGGCTCTCCCATCAACAGCACCATGGAGATTCCATTCGGGGGCGGCCAAGATGGGGATGATGACTAGGGGGGAGACATCATGGCGTGGGCCATGATATTTCCTTAGATTTCATGGCGCCTCTTCTTATTTCATTGCGTCCCTGGCCCCCCCCACCATGGCTGGCCACGCCAGGGGCGTTGAAGGCAAAATCGTGATCCAGTGGTCCCCGGTGTTTTGCTGCCCTGCATCTCGGGGCGTTCCCATCAACAGCACCATAAAGACTACATGGCTGGCCACGCTTGGTGAATGTCGGGTGGGGAAAAAACACAGGCACAATTAATCGCCGATCCCCAGGAAAATATGGGAAAATATGGGAAGTGGGGGGAAGACGAAAACCCAGAGCATATGGGGAATCGGGGAATCCTGGGATTTGTGTGTATTTGTTTGTGTGCCCCTGAGCCCCTTTAGAGTGGCTCGTGTCAGTCAGGCGTGCCTGAGCCTGCGGCCCGTCAGAGGCTGGCACGCGAGCGGCACGAGGACGCGCCTGCAGGTGGGGCGCGGCAGGCCGGTGCACGGACGTCTCGCCGCAGGGCTCCCCCGGGACCATCAAGCGATGCATTGGCTGACGCCGCCCCGCCGACCCCTTGGGGCGGCAGCAGGAGTGACAAACGGAGTTTGCGGAGCGATTTCTGGGGAATCTTGGGGTTTCAGCTTCTTGGGATTTCGTCGGGGGCGGTTGGCGGATCGCGGCTCTGCTTTTTGGCTTCTCTGGGCTCTCCTGGCAGCACTTTTGAGGCCTCTTGGGAGCCGTTTTGAGGCCTCTAGGAGCTTCTTTTGGGCCTCTCGGGACCATCAAGTGCTTCGGGATTTGTTCCCGGATACCGCCGTTGACGTGAAAGATGCCCATCTAGAAACGCCGCTGCGGAGTGCCCGTTCCCGGGCCTCCCATTTCACTGTTGCGTTCGCTGCCACTGTCGGGGTGCAGGCATCGGCATCAAAAACGCCCAACTCTTCTCCGCCAAGGCAGCCCCGCTTCCAACATTGACATTGGGTGCACGGGGGTCCCTAGTACATCAGCGTTGACCTTTACGCCTGGTGGGCGTTTTTCACGCCAATGGCGGTATCTCTCTGAGAGCTACGAGGGTTTCAGATTAGAAGCCGGCAGCGCAGGGTAGCCCAAGGGGCTCTTTCCGGCGCCGGTCCACGATCCTCGCAGCGAGTTGCCGGAATTCGCAGCGTGTCCGAGAGAGCTTCCTATTCGTTCCCAATACGTTCGTCGGAAGCCTTTCCACGGCTCCGTCGAAGCTCTGCCTGAGCTCCTGCGAAGCTGCTTTTGCTTCAGCTTGCAAGCTCCCCAGAGGGCATTTCAAGCGTCTGGGCAAGCATCTACCACAAATTTTCACGCGTTCAGATCTGCACCGGTATCCAGGTTTTGGACGCCTTATGTCTCTTAAGCTGCTCTTCGGATTGGGCTTCTGGTACTCCTCCTCCTACTCCCTCCTCCCTCCTCCCTCCTCCCTCCTCCCCCCTCCCTCCTCCCTCCTCCCTCCTCCCTCCTCCCCCCTCCCCTGCTCCATCCTCCCTCCTCCCTCCTCCCTCCTCCCTCCTCCTCCCTCCCTCCTCCCTCCTCCCTCCCTCCGCCCTCCTCCCTCCTCCCTCCTCCTCCCTCCTTGTGAACCCTCCTCGTCTCACCTCCCTCCGAGCGCGCGTGGCCAGGCGAGAGTACCGCCCAGTGCTCGGGTGCGCCGGCACCCCGGCGGCTACGACCGCCAGCTCGTGCCGCCCCCGCGCCCCGCGGGGAGGGCCCGGGAGCTGGGCGGGTCGTCGCGGCCGCGCGCTGGTCTCGGCGACGCGTAGGAGTGGCCCTTCGCTGGAGTGGCCTTTGGTGCGGGCACGCTTTGGGGCTCAAGGGACGGGGGCCGATGCAAACGGGGGTCGGTCAGAGCGCCGGATCTTGCGGGATCCTGCAGGGTTTTGCAGGATCCTGCAAAGCTTGACTGGCCCGGGTCTGGATTGACCCGGGTCAGAAGATCCCCGAGCACAGTGGGGCCCCCGGATGGCTGAATGCATTGCGATAGCACCAGTTTTCTCGCTCGGGTTTGGCCCCCCGCACCCGCGTAAAGAGTCACTCTTGCGTGTAGTTGATATTCTCGGCGACGCGTCAGAGTGACCTTTCGCCGGGGTGACCTTTTGGTGCGGGCACAGTGGGGCCCCCAGGTGGCTCAGTGCAATGCGACAGCACCGGGTTTCTCGCTCGGGGTTTGGGCCCCCAGCGCCCGCCTGAAGCCGTACACCAAGGGTCATTATTGCCTGGGGTCACTCTTGCGTGTACGGAGGAGGCGTTGGTGAAGGAATGTGCCCAGAGGGCTGCAGACCCTGGAGGGTTCCTGATCTGATGAGGGCGGCGGTGACATCCATGGCCAAGCCTCGATTGGAGTTCCACTGGCCTCCAGATCCTGGGTTCCTTAACCAATGCTTCCTTATCCAATGCCCCTGGCGTGGCCCCCTGGCGTGGCCGATATTCGGTGAATTCGGTTGGCGCTCGTCGTCCTCCTTCGAAGTTTCGGTCGGCGCCCAGCTGGAGGCGAGACGTCCCCGCCCCCAGCGGATCCTGACTCGCTCCCTCGCTTCCTCGCTCTTCCCCGACTCCTTTCCCCTCCCTCCTTGCCCGAGGGATCTGTTCGTGGCTTCCCCATGACCCCCAGGATCCCCGCGGCGGAGCTCGGGCGGAGATGGGAGGAGCTCCGACCCATCTTAGCTCGGTCGCCTCCTTCGGGGGCCCAGGCACGCGTCAAAGCAGTGTCCGGCGCATGGACCACGTCCGCGATATTTCGGGAGTGAAGACAACAAAAAAAGCCACGCGAAATCCACCTCGTTTTTCACTCGCCCTTTCCCCTTTCGGGGTTCAGCATTGGCGGAAATCCGCGCGAGAAGTCCGCTGCAGCACGTCTGCGAGGCCGGTGCTGGGGGAGCGCGGCGGTGTCGTCCAGGCCGGGGGCCCCGGAGGGGGGCCCCGGCCCTCGTGCTCCCCGCCTCGCGCCCCCCGCGAAGAGCGCCAGCGCCAGTTTGCGGAATGTGGTTGGCGCCGCCCTGCTCTAGGCTCGCGGGGCAGCGCATAAGGGGGGGGGGGACAGGGGCACAAGGGGGGGGAACTGCATCGACCCCCCAAATCGCCCCTCGATCGCCGATGGGGGTCTAGCCCCACCCCGCCCAGGAGGGTGCGGATTCGCCATCGGGGCCCATCGCCAGGTCGATGTGTCCCCCATAGGCCAGTCCCCCCCTATCGTTGCCCCTCGCAGGCTCATGTCGTCGCCCGTCGCGTGCGGATTTCCAGCACGTGAGGGTTCCAGCGAGGGCCGAACGAGGACGGGGGCTGGGGCTGAACTGCAACCCCCAGGTGGCGGGCGCGAGGAAGGCGAGAGCCGGGCCGCGCCGTCGTCCTCGCCGTCGCGGTCGACCTCCTCCTCGTCGAGCTCGTCCTCGTCGTCGTCCTCCTCGTCGTCGTCGTCGAGCTCGTCATCGGGCTCTATGCCTTCAAAGGTCGAAGGAGTTGGCAGCTCTTCCTCGGCGGATGGCCGGCGGGAGTAGGCCGAGGGCGGTTCCGCCGGCGCAGGGCCGGCGGAGGCGGGCGGCAGTGAGAGGTGCGCGCCCCCAGGAGATGGCAGCGTGTTTGGGTTCCGGGCTTCCAGAACTGGTCTTATCTTGTTGTCGCATGCGCATTCTCAGCACATCTTGCGCACGCGTGCTCATGTCCAGCATCGCTCCTCGCTCCTCCCGTCTCCACAAGTTCCTCGCCCCCCTTGTCCTACCGTCTCCTTCTCCTTCTCCTCCTCCCCTCCCTCTCCTCCTCCTCCTCCTCCTCCTCCTCCTCCTCCTTCTCCTCCTCCTCCTCTTTCGCCTCCTTCTCTTCCTTCTCCTCCTTCTCCTCTTTCTCCTCCTCTTTCTCCTCTTTCTCCTCCTCCTCCTCCTCGCAGCAAGTGCGGCCTGGAACGAGACGGACAGAGCAGGTGTTGATGTGCGCACTCCCGAGCTGGATGTGCGCGTGGATCAAGACCTGGTTCGTAGGTTGGGTCGCAGATACCCGCCTCCAGAATCGGGACCGTAGTTGCTGTCTGGGCTGCGTCTCGCCCGACGGCATCGTCATCACTATCGCCGTCGTCATCGCCATCACCATCATTATCGCTATCACTACCGTCACCGCCATCGCCATCGCCATCGCCATCGTCATCGTCATCGTCATCATCTTCAGCACCACCATCATCGTCATCAACATCAGCACCACCTCCAATCCTCGTCCGCTGCCTCCTCCTCCTCCTCCTCCTCCTCCTCCTCCTCCTCCTCCTCCTATCTGGGCTCCGTAGCCATTTTGGCTCAAGATGTTTGTGCCCCGTGGCAGGGCACGGAGACCCCTGGTCCGGGGACTGCTAGGACCGCTGCTTTCCGCCTTCGCCGTGCCCGCGGCGTTGAGCATCTCCATATCCTTTGCTGCTGAGACGCAGCTTACATATTTCTCGCCACCAGCGCCAGCCCTGCGCACGATAGCCTCGCGATGGGTGTGCCTGGTGTTGCCAGCTCCGCCGACTCCTGGGCCGACTCCCCCGACAAGGGCAAGGGCAAGGACACCGCTGCTGCCGACCCCTGGGCCGCTGGAGCTCAGAAGCTTGCCGCGTTCGACCTCCCCGCACACCAGCGGAAGGTGTTCACCGATCTCCTCCAGACCCAGGTCGACAAAGCCGCCGCCGCCTTCGAAGCCACCTCCAAGCAAGTTGCAGCTGCTGCACAAGCTGAGTTCCTGGCCAACATCACGAAGCTCACCGAACAGCTCTGCAACCGCCAGGAGTCCGCCGAGAGGGACATTACTGAACTCAAAGGCCGTGCTGACCGTGCTGAACGTCTCCAAGGCGAACTCAAGGCCAGCGTGGACGCCCTCCAACCAGCTCTTCGTCATGCCGAAGCTCTCCACCCAGCCATGGACTTGGACGCCCTGGGTGCCTGGGACCGCCCACCGAATGCTGCAACCTTCTGGTGTGGGGCTGCCTCAGAATTCTCCGTCGCCTCGCTCAAGGCTGCGCTCGCCTCCTGGTTCGAAGCTGCCGACGTGGACATCAATGCGCTCCGCATCAACTCGGAGGGCCCTGCACGGATAATTTCATTCACACTCACTGGCGGCAACTCGATTGCTCTCCCGCGAGCCCAAGGTCTACATCGCGCACTTCGTCAAGGTCGTGAATGGCGTCGCTTCCAGGTGGAATCGGACTCTGGCCTCGCTGCCCTCTACGTCTCCGCGGACAAATCGCCGCGCATGGTCCGTCAAGAAGTTCAACTCAAAAAGCTCAACAAGATCATCACTGACAAGTTCCCCATGCTCGAGACTCGGGTTCACCACACTGGAGGCTTCCTGTCCATCGACGGCGCTCCCATCGTCCAGGTCACAGCTGGCGCTACTCCCGATGCAGCCACCCAAATTCGCTGGTCCGGCGCTGCTGCCCCCGCTGGCATCCCTATCACCGAGCATGTGCCATTGGCTGCCGCGCTGGCTGCCGCGTTCGCCAACCCACTGGAGGCAGCACGGTAACTTTAGCATACGATGGACGCCGTGGTTCACGAAACCACACGTGGACGGCCTCAACTTGGTCTCGTGGAATGCACAGGCGGTCAATGGCAGATCGGCATCAAGGCGGGCCCTCAAGCGACAGCTGCTGCTCCGTTACATGCGGCAACGAGCGGTCATCGCCATCCAAGAGACGCACGGCAACAGCATCGACATGGACCTCCTGGCCGCGAGCTCCGATCACAAGTACATCGCCTTCCACCCAGCGCTCGTGACTGACGGCCAATCCTCGGAGACCGCAGGCGGAATCACATTCTTGGTTCCCTTTGATCGAGCTGAACTCCAACTGCCTCCTGATCAACGGCCTCTACGTTCATTTCGCGCGATCGTCCCTGGTCGCATTGGTGAACTACGCGTTCAAGACGGGACAAGACAGCACGAGACAACAATCTTCAACATTCACGACTGCGACCTCAGCGGATCTGACCGTCAGCGCTTCAAAGCTACGTGGCAAGCAGCCGCTCAACGCTCAGCCCTCCACCCAGACAGCCACGACAACTACATGATTGGTGACTTCAACATCGCCCAGACGCCGCCGAAGAGCCTGCTTCACCCCGCCGCGGACTCCACCGCCGAGCGTTACCACTACCAGCCTGTCTTTTTGGAAGAACATCTTCTCACAGATGATGGAAATCATAGCGAAGGCCACCGCGCACCGATGCGCGGCCAACATGACGGAAGCGACCATCGACAGGTGCTTCGCCTCGATCAACGCGTCCAACATCCCGCACATCGAGACACTTCTTGTTGCCGATGGCCGACCGCTCGACCGAGAAGGGGAGCCCATCAGCGATCACAAGATTCTACATCTACGGCTTCGACCTCGTCAGCGACGTCCAGTCAGCGAGCGCGGCATCCCCGCCTTCCTCTTCGAATCCAAGCACTACAAGTTCCACTGCAATCGCCTTGTCGAGATGGCCGACCTCTCAGCCGATCCCATCTCAAACTGGCGGACAATGAAGCACATAATGAAGATGGCGGCGCGCAAGGCTCGCGACACCATCACCTCCGTCTCCGCCTCCGAGATCATGCCGTTCGAGAGCCGAAATGAAGACCCACAAGTCATAGCTGAGGCAAGTGCACTCACACTACGCAGTATTGCCAGAGCCGTCTGGTACCAAGACCTCGCTCTTGCCCAGCGACTTCGAGAGGTCACCACTGCTGG